GTCGATGGTGGTGGCCAATAGGCCGAGAGGGTTCCACACGAGGCCGACCAGACAATGGCGAACCTCCTCTCAGGCACCAAGAAAAGCCAAAAGGCGTACTGTCCACACGTCCCAAAAAAAGGTAGTGAAAAGTTTTCAGTGAGAGGTCCACATGTTCACACAGGGCCTGACAACATGGTTCGAGGTGAACCTCCTCCTCAGGCACTGTGGAGAAAGAGAGGTCGATAGCCTAGCCAGCAGCTGTTAGTCCCGCTACGCGGCACCGCGCGGTAGCCGCGAGGCCGTAGCCCGTTAGCTATCGCGAGCGGACGTGCAGCCGCACGCCCGAAGAAACCACCCAACGTAGCAATCGGGGTTCATCACTACCCTGGGGCCCGGCAGGGCTAGGTCGTGGCAGTGGTGTCGCCGCGTGGTGGCGGGTTGGAGAGGGAGCCGGATGCGGGAATGCAGCAACATCAACCCAAGCATTCTGCCATAAAAGAGGCGCCTGCACTCCGAGCCTCAGTCCGCGTGCCGGTGGCAGCCACGGACGATTCCAAAAATCCCCGGCATTTCGAGAAAGAAACCTGAGTTTCCTCTGCCGTGTTCGGGTCCGTCCCGGAAACTTCTCGAGACGTGTCAGGGTCACCAATGTAGTGCCGAGAGATAGGGAGTCAGAGGCGGTGCAATGATGGTGTAAAAGGGTACTTTATTTAAGAGTAGAAAAGGACATGTTGTCCGGTTGCAGTCCGGGAAGAAGAGAGAGTGAAGTCAGGAGGGCACACAACATATAGTAAACACAAACATGTCCGTGTGGGAACAATAGCCCTACCCCACAGTTCCGTGTGTGAATTATGACCCAGTGTATTAAAGGTGGTCACCACAATAGCACCTTTCATGCATCATGGCATTCAGCCCAAAGTTGCACACAGATGAGCAAGTTAGGCCAACACAGGATATATACATTTGCTGTTTGGCCAGTGGTTTCTTGTTAGGCCAATTCAGTATATACAGTAAGATGAGCAAGTCTTTTTTATTATTATGAAAAATACTTTTTTCCATTTTATTTTTACAATTATAATTTATTATCTTTTATGAATATATCTGGTTGTATATATTGCTAATTTTCCATAAAAGAAACAAAAGTATTTGAGTTTGTGTTTTATTTGAGTTTGATGTGTACAAATACTGTACTGTATATGATGATCACTTTTACCATAAAAGGCCAGCTCGACCAGTTGGTAGAGGCTCATAAAAACAAAACTGTGAGGTCAGTCAAAACAAATAAAATGGTTTGTGGTTATTTGTGGCCCATTTCATAAAAAAATGCAAACAAATCATTTTTCCATAGCTTTTTTCTTGGTCTGGCAGTTAAAGGGTTAACATGTTCGATCTTGTTGTTCATAGGAAAATCCGCAGGACAACAAATATTTTATCATAATCTTCATTTTGTGTTATTCTGTTTAGGGAAGACAGAGAGAGATGGGGATGTCTTCGAGACAGTAGCACCAACAGTTATACCAAGTGAAAACGCTAGGTTGGCAAACCCCTAAAGCAGGGGTCTCCAACACGTAGCTCGCAAGCCCTCAATAAGTAGGTCGACAAGCAAATCCAAAATCCAAAAAGTACACAAAAAACAAAAGGAAATGTAATTAAAAGAATCTACTCTATGCATAAACGAAACCTCAATCATAGCGAACTGAACTCTATCTACTTACTACAACTCTATATCTATCCAATACCCTTCCTCCCCCCACAATGAATATCGACCAATCACGTTCTTGCTTGATTTGCGGGACCAGCGTTACAGTCGGGAAGAAAAGCAATGTGGAGCAGCACCTCACCGCTTCATAGGGAGTTTGACTGTGATTTTCCTTCTGGCAGAATCTACACAACACATCAGCCTGATTACTCCTCCTTTTATTAGTTTTATGAAGGAGATGTCCGGTCACCAAGGTGCATGATGTGAGTCTGTTTGTGCTCTGCTCAGCTCCACTCTGTGTTCTGAGTGTTTGTTTCCCTTTAAAACAGCTGTGAGCAGCAGATACTCCGAGAGTCACGGACATTAATAATTAATAGCTCTACACCCCTGGCCGAAATGTCCATCAAATTAAGTCTGAGTCCGAAATATATCTCAAATAATGTATACACTGTCATTTCCCCACGTAAACATAACAGTCTGCAATTAAATGGTTGTCTCCCTCACTTCTTCCTTGTTGCACTGGTAACTTTCTCAACAAAAAAAAAAGTTGGGATAATGGGTTAGTTTCTTGTGCGCATACTTTCTCGTGCTCACGAGATACTCACCCGTTATCCCGACTTTTCTTTTTCTCTCTTTTTTTTTCACGTGTCCCTTTAGGGGGCTCGCTAGAAAGTAATCTAAACATTTGAAAAAAAGAAATAGTGCCACCTACGATCTGGAAGAGGATGAAGGAGAAGATGCTTGCGAGGAAGCACATGAGGGGAACCCGCATGATGACTTTGAGGATGTGATGTTTGTAGACGGTTAGGTTCTCTGAGATCTGAATCTGCTCGTTCAACAGGAAGGGGCGGCTGAAGGCGTACACCACAATCACCGACTAGGGAAACAAAGCATGAAGAAATATGGGATTTCACTGATTTCAGTAGATCCACCACAAAAATACAGCAAACATAACGCAACAATCAACTGAATCTGTATATACTGTATATAGGTGTTTTAACTTAAGACATCCATTTTGGAAATTGGTGGACTTAAAAAAGAAAAGAGAAAATAATTACTTCACTATAATAAATGGATCACCTGTATGACACCCATCACCATCACACAACCACAAAAGAGTAAAATCCCGAGGATGTTCTCAGGGAAGGTGGCCATCAGAGAGAACTGCAAAATATGACATGCCGTAATGTTACTGAGCAATACAGAGCAAAAAGTATTGGTGTAAATAGTGTGATGGATTTAACGACCATTAAGCAGTGTCTCATACTCACTGTATACGGTAGAAAGGTTATCAGCATCATGCAGGCCTGAAATAAAACCCAAAGCAAAAGGAAATGTGAGCAAAAAGTCAAATACTTTTAGGTATAGCACTAAAAGATTACTTTTTTGTTGAGAATTCATTATTATGCACTTTATTTGTATAGCAAATTAGTTAATATGCCCAAACCAACTGTAATATCGCTGTTAAATCAGACCTTAAATCTTTTTTAAATAGGATTTTTACTAATTGGACAAGCGTTCACAACTCCCTCTGGAGGGAACTTTGAGATTTTAGCCTTTGCAGACCATTTACATGTACACAAACTTATGTAACACACTACAGAAAATGGAATACCCTAAAAAGCATAATAGGGCCTCTTTAATTAAATATCCAAAAGTATTATGAAGATATATTTCAATTAATCTATCACAAGAGGTTAATTAAAGGTTAGTTAGCATACAGTGACTTTGTACTTACAAGGTTCAGCAGTGCAAGGCAATCATCAATGCGTACAATTACTTGAAACAATCTGTGAAATTCAGCACAAAAATAGGCAAGTGATAAATATAAACCTAAAAACTGCTCCTATACTTAGTACTTTGTCAAATATTAGTTCTATAAATGATAATATACTAATAATACTAATGTACCTGATATGAGCAGCCCATGCAACAGTCACGATGAGGAATGTCATTAAGTAAACGGCAATCTTTGTTGACAGCAGAAGCTGAACACTCTGCCTCAGCTCCTGTAAGCAGACACATAGAATACTTTATCTTTTCAGTACATACAGTACAGTCTCACTGCAGAGATTTGCAGACCCAACTACCACTGAAAACACCTTGTTCTAAGGGGGTCGCTTTTTAGGAATAAAATAATGTGCGATTACACGTCTTACCTCGTCATTATTTTGCAACTTTGTATGTGCAACAGGTAAGATCTGTGAATATAAGATGATACATTATGAGAAACATCATATGTTCAGAGAAAGGCACATGTTGTTGAGAAAATGGATTTCCAACTGACAAGTAAGCATGTTCTATGTATGTTAAGCGCCCTATTATGAATATTATCACGGCTAATTTCAACCATAAATGAAAGTATCAAGCACGAACACACTTTAAACTCACTGTATCTGTGTTTTTAAATTCCCTTTAAGTGGCTGACATAATTAGAAACATTAGTTATATGTGTCTAGTTGATGATATTGTATGATCTTGTACCATGTACTTACTGAGATTTAATTAAAGTTGAACTTACTCTATAGGCTATAGCACTGCTATAATCCCATTATAACTAAAGTAAGCAAGTATCATTCCTACTATGACTCTTAAAATGTCTGACTATCTAACATTAAATACTCATTATATGCCCTACCCAACCTCTCTCCCATCTTCCCCAATTCAAAAGGAAACTCTGGTTTAAAGGGCATTAAGATTATATGCTTGAGTACAAGTAGACATACCACACCATAGATACACTTCCTACTCTACTTAGTTACTTCCCACCTCTGACAGTATGTAATATTATTACTGGACTATTATCCACTCCACCCCCCCCCCCCCTTCAGCCCTCAGGTTGGTGGTGTCTGCAGTCGCTCAGCAGCAGCATGTGTTATTGAGATAGAGCTTGGTGTCTTTACCATGACGGTGGCGATGATGGAGATGAGCGCGTCGCTGTAGGCCAGCAGTCTGTGGGAGGACTGGGTGCCGCTGTGGCCCTCTCTGTCGGACGGAGTGACGCTGCCCGGGAAGCTGGAGGAGGCTGTGCGGCTTCTCGTGCCTTTCTTCTCCATCTCCTCCTCGACATGGTGCTCTATTATCTCGCTGTTGTCGTTTTCCCCCATGGTGGAGGAGCTAGAGGGGCGCAGAGGATGAGGCGGGGACCATGGACCAGGCGGACGGACTGTTTGCAAACAACGGAGGAACAGCTGACTGAGGGCGGGAAACCGGAAGCAGGTGCCCGTATGTTTTTTCTGTTGACAACAAAGATCGTTGATGGCGGAGTAGAGTACCCACGTGGTGATCAAAAAAGAAATATTTTTTTCTCTGTGTGTGTTTTTTTCGGTTAATTCTGACTCGAGTTTATCTTCGTTTTAGACGATTTTATGGTAGGCTACTCTAGAATCCAGAAATGAAATAATGTAGTTGTTGAGAGACCACGTCTACAGCAGGATTTTGTATGTAGTTGGTTAACAAGATACTTTAAACTTGATAAACAAAAATCGTAGGCAAACACAATGATGGTTTCAATTCTTGCATTTGGGCCTATTTACCTTTATGCTATAATAGCCTGCTCAAACGTGACTGAAAGAAGAGTAACAAAAAGAGAAAGTTAGTGCTAAGTGATACCTTGAACCTGCCACTGGGTGACAGTAGTGTTTTAAATTCTTGCCATGGTCATTTTAATGTATGTTTAGTTAAAACACTGTGTGGTCACCAGCAAGTTGCAACTAAACATTCTTCAACACATTTACTTTACAAGTTGTAAGGCCTGCTGTTGTAAATTACAACGGTAGGCCTACATCTGTATTTCATCAGGCGGGCAAATGCCACACCATGTCTGAATTTACCCACTTGACGAGAAGTTGTTTATCATTTTGTACATTGTTCATCTTTGTATTCCGTTATCCTCTTTTAGTAATTGTGCTGTAAGGATACAAATTGGTTATATCAGCTTGAGTAAAAAACAAACAAACACAGAGTATGCAGTGAATTAACTCAAATGAATTCTGAGTGTGAGAGGGATAACAGTAAATTACATCTAATTTGTGTGAATATAAGGAGCTAAACAGAAATAAGAATAAGAACCCTACACTTCATTCCTGCTTTAAATTATTAAATAGCTTTCATTTGCAGAACGCCTACTTAGCATATAGCCTGCTTTTTTTAAATTAGTTTTTGTTTCTTTGGGTGGCGTTCCGCTTGTTGACAAAATTAGGAAAATATCCTGTGTTGGATTCAAATTGACCCTTTCTGCACGGCACACATTAGAGCACACGTGCAATCTGATTGGCTCTTTGCAAAGTAGCCTCCTGTCTAGATGTATTTATTCAATAGTAACATAGAGGTCAATATACATGATGTTCATAAACATGATATAAACACCACTTGGTTTTACTTTGCGTTTAGTTAATTGAACACAGCATATTCGGCTTTATTCAATATGGTGTGGACGGTAATGACACACCCTGATTTACATTAGAGTTTATATTTCAGTGATGCAGTAAATGTTCTTGTAACATGACTTGTCAAAAACACAGTAAACATGTGAGGCACTCTTCTGCCTCTAGAGGGAAACATCATACTGTGTCTGGCAAACATTTCAACCTTCTGTCCTGTAACTATGCCCATGTTACAATTTGAACAAAATAAGTAGTCCCAAAACATTACTAATTTGTCTCATTACATCTACCATGCCATTATATTGGCAATAATATTATTATCCCCCTGCACTGGTTAATTGTTTGAGTTTGAGCTATATTGCTACCATTTCATGTATCCTGCAGACTTTTTGAAAGATTTTCTATGTCTAGTTGTGTCTGTAGACTCCTAAATTCACCGAAGGCTATCATAAGAGAATGCATCATTCAAATATTTAAACAAACATTTCAGAAAACGTGTAATACAAAAACGGATTTTGATGAGGTTTTTCCTGAGGGTTCATATATCATTCATAGGCCCATTTATAGAATTGTTGGCAGTATCTTTCTTATTCATGAAGCGTCGAAGGAGATATCTTCCCTCTCTAAGAACCTTTGACTTTAATAATGGTCATTTTGATTTTGAATATGGCTTTATTCAGTGTTAGGATTTCTGTTCAATATATTATTAAATTAACACATATTTTCAATAAGATAGTGCCTAATTCAACTTTCTTTTAAATGGGAAATGTTCCTGTGACACTGGCATGTTTGCAGAGAGGTAAGATGTTAATATATAATCTTATATAATCTTTAATACCCATGGCAGGGTTTTTCCTACTCACTTAAGTGTGTTGAGCCTCTGCTGCTGGCGCTAGTGCCTCTGGCCGAACTTTGGGCTAATGATGTCTCTGCATCCTGGGGTCCTCCTCCCAGAACCCCTTTCATGTAGATGAGTGCCCCTTCTCTCCACTGAATTACCAATTGAACTAGGACGCCATTTTATGAGGGCAATACGAATTTAGCAGTAAGATGCATGGGGTTGATTCCTGCTAACGCTTGAGCTAAGCATTAATCAAAGATGCTGAGTTAGGGAGTTTTGAGAATCCACTCATACTACCATTAGATACAGAAGCATTAATACATCAACAATCAGAAAAAAGTATACAGGGAGGGAATAAAAAAAAAACGGACTGCTTAAAGCGGAGTTAGGGTATTTTGTTGGCACAAACGTACAGACAATACTGACAATACCCCTTTATTATAACCTTATTTGCACACTCAGCGACACAGTGTAATATAAGTCCAACATTCACTATCTTGTTGGATTTCATTTTTCACTGAGTACTGAAACATAGCTGCTAAATGCTCCGTATTGACCAGGTAATCGCTAAAAAAATGTCTCTTTACTGAGTGCTGATTGTTCCTTTTCACTTATAGCTGTAGCTATTGTAGAAAAACATTACAGACTGCTCAATTCCCCCAATAAAATTGACAATATATAACTATTATTTTATACTGCTTTGTTCATCGCACCAACCAAAATTGTATCTGTTCCCCGACTTCCGTTATTTAACCAAGTCGGCACAATCGTAGCTTGTGAGAAGTGGCAAGCATTCCACACCAATCTATATTAAACTTTTTGGTTGCTATAGGTCCATCATCCGGTTACTTGTACTACTCTGCATTTCACTTTTAATTGGGATGCATGTAATAGCAGATGTGGGAGAAGTACTCAGATCTCAGGTGAATAGGGTAATTTTTGTAACTCAAAGGTGTCAGCTAGAAATTTCTCCAGTTAATTACTTACAATAAGGCAATTGTTTTTTGTATTACAAGTTTTCTGAAATAGCATGTTTAAATATGCAAATTATTCATTATCTCATTAAATATGTGCATATTTTAACACATTTCAGGAATCGAAATCTGAACTTTGGATAAAGCCAGGTTCAAAGTTCTTGTTTCATTTTGTAGTCATATTAGTATATAAGGCTTTTACAGAAGGGATTTTGGATATCTCTTTTTATCACTCCATAAATCAGAAAATACTGTCAACAGCCCTAAAATATCAATTTTTGCCATGTTTTTAGGTAAACAATGTTGTATAATTCAGGCTATGAATGATATATGAACAAACCCTTCTGTAAAAGCCTTCATAATATTGATAGGAATATAACTGGAAGGTTTGGTGTGTCTACGTGCTACTGAAGTTGAAATTTTGAACTCAGAGTAGGAGAAAAAACTCATTTTGAGAAAACGACCTTTAAAGATTGCAGTGAGGCGCTAGCTAAACCCTCCTGTTCTTTGGATGACAGCTCGCGCATCGATGCACTCCGTGAAGGTATTTCATGTTCGGGGTCATTTCTTTTTTGTATAACCTTGCTTCGTGCAAGTGACAATTGTTGTCGTCTTCTCTGTAAACGTTTTTTTCGCCGTTCTTTTGCCATTTTGAGATTTACATTTCTAGCGGAAAGCTAACCAGGAAGTGTTTTAGCACACCACGTGACGCATCTGAACGAATCACGTTGTCTGAAATTGACACCAGCCAATGAGATTTCGTTTCTTGGTTTAAGACCCCTTTGTGCTTTCACGATTGGTTGCTGATACAAAGGAAATGACCATATTTGGATCCGATGAGATTGTGCGGGAGAGACACAGCTTTCTAACGATATCTCTGTTGACATGGTGCACACAGCGGTCGCGGTACTTTATGTTACGTTAGAAAGCTAACTTTTGGTGAATTTAGGAGAAATCTACTGACGCAAATAGACAAACTATAGTCAAATAAACACTTAAATGTGTATTTTGTACGTTTTCCTTCCAAAGCCTGAAATAAAACATGTTATAGAATCAAAATAGCACAAAATCTCAAAATTGACCAGTGCTTGAAAAACGATGTTTTTGCCTGCCGTGTCTCGCCTTAAGTTGTAGATACTAAAGGGAGAAACAACAGTCATTTCAAGTCTTCAATAAAGATTATTGGTCTTAGTTTGGCAGCTTGTATTTACAGTTTAATGAATGTGATTATGATTAACTAAAGATTGGTTCAGGCTGTTGTAATGTATTTATATATTCAGATTTTAATTGCTCGTCTTTTTTACTTTTCAGGCCAAAGAACTGCAGACTCTGCTCAATTTTGAGGAAGCTCTTTGTCCAGGACCTGGCTACCCGGGTGAAAAAGGTGAACTACTGTGAACATATATTTATTTTCTGGGTGACTTGCTTAAGTACACACATGTGAACAAAATAACAATAGTTTTGAAACATTCAGCAACATTAGAATCAGTGTTTTCAAAGCTGATTCTATCTTTTATTCCATTGTGATTGTTGTTAAATGATACGTGTCTGTCGTGTATGGATTACTGCATGATATTGCATCCCCACTTATTTAACGCCTGTTATTTAAGCTTAGTAATTGCTTCTGTTCTGTGCCGTGCAGGAGCCGCTGAAGATGCACTCCGACTGACACAGCTGTGGGGAGTGCCAGCACAGAAACAGAAATCTCCTTTCTGAGAAACAACTTTGCAGCAGGCACAAAGGTTCACAAAACAGGCTAGACTTAATGAACAACAGACCATATACTCTATATTCATCTCATTCATTTCGTTATTTTCTTCAATCTTCTCCTGCCTTCTTGGTTTTCTTTGCCTCGATCGTTTGCCCGTCTAAAGCAGGGTGTCCAAACTACGACGTCCGGGGGCCAAATGCGCGGCCCGCGCGTTCATTTTGAATCGGACCCTCAGGCAAATTAAATTAGTATTAATGGAATACGCGCCCACAGAGAAACTTGGCTGCCG